GCGTGTGCGTGTGTTGCTATTCGCAGGAGGGGGGGTGTATGTGTATTTATGTTTGCGCGCTTCTGTGATTTTTTTTTTTTTTACCTTATATTGTATTAAAGAAAAGAAGAGGGAGAGAGAAAGAGAGAGAGAGAGAGTGAGAGAGAGAAAGAGAGAGAGAAAAAAAGAGGGAGGGAGAGAGATAGAGAAAGAGAAAGAGAGAGAGAAAGTACACGTGTGTACACTGTATGCGTAATGAAAGCCATTGACACGAAAATACAAAACATTACAAGACAAACACACCCGCACACACGCATTCACACAATCACAAACACACATTTTCAGGTACGTGCATTCACAAACACAAAATATATTAATGCAGCTACCAAGCACCTAAAAGGAATTGTTACCCCTCATATCGCACAAAGAAGTAATGAGATATTGTTTCCATACAAAATGAAAATAACAATTAATAAGAAAATTTATTCAATATTTTACACTGCATTCAGATTTTAGAATATTGCAAAAATGCTTATTGCAATGAAATAGCATTGTGTACATAATTGGCATTCGTTCTCTTCGCAATTACATATATATACATAGACAAAAACGCTTTCATATATGTATGAATGTGCGCTACGCGCGTGTGTGCAAAGAAAACTTTTGGCATGACGGTATTCTTTCAGAACACACCGTAAAGCTTGTTCATATTTTTATGATCTTAATATGTATTTGTACACATGCATATTATATATACATACATATATATATATATATATATATATATATATATATTTATATATATATATATATATATATATATATATATATATATATATATATATATATATATATATATATATATATATATATATATATATGGATAGAGAGATAAATATATATCATCAATACTCTAAGTATCGGGAATGACTCTGGATTTCTTAATTATCTTTTAACTATATATATATATATATATATATATATATATATATATATATATATATATATATATATATATATATATATATATATATTTATATATATATATATATATATATATATATATATATATATATATATATATATATATATATATATATATATATATGGATAGAGAGATAAATATATATCATCAATACTCTAAGTATCGGGAATGACTCTGGATTTCTTAATTATCTTTTAACTCGAATACAGAGGCCGAACAACGAGAAGAATCTAGACGAGATTAAAAAGAGAGAGAGGGAGATGGAGATAGATGGGGATAGAAATGGATACTAATTAGCTAGGTAGATAAATAGAGAGAGACAGAAACAAAGTCAGATGCGGAAACAAACATACAGAAATGGAAGGAAGAATAAACAGAAAAAAATAAATAAAACAGAAGAGAGGAAGAGAAAAATTACCCGATGAATCTCCAGGTGTCGTTGTGAAGGAGATGGAACAGACGTTATCTGGGAAGAGCCAGAGAGAGAGAGAGAGAGAGAGAGAGAGAGAGAGAGAGAGAGAGAGAGAGAGAGAGAGAGAGAGAGAGAGAGAGAGAGAGAGAGAGAGAGAGAGAGAGAGAGACAGAGAGAGAGGGAGAGAATGAGAGCGAGACAGAGAGAGA